ACATATTCAACTCTGTATATTTTTATATTTATTTATTTTTATTTTTCTTTACTATTTAATTTGTAAAATGTGTATACACACACACACACACACACACACACACACACACACGGAAAATATTTAGTATACACATCCAGAAATGCATACACTATTATATATTGTACATATATTTATTAGTTTCAGGTTGGCCATTCTTGTATTTTGCTCGTTTTTGTTGTTGTGTTTGCACATCTCTGTTGCTTGTGGGGCTCGCACACAAGAATTTCACTCGCATGTGCTGTGCCAGTGTGCCTGCACATGTGATGTGACAATAAAAGTGATTTGATTTGATTTGATATTTGGGGGAGGCAGAGAACACAAATTATTCCTGTATGCAGATGATGTGCTGATATTAAACCAAGACCCAACTAATTGAGTGCTACGGTGAAGAGCGTAAGAACTGAGGGATGACTGTGATGACAGCGGCTATATGTGCGGGCGGGGCCGTGCGCGTGTCATCACACGTCATCTGCCGTAAAGGCGTGAATAAAGGTTTCTTCAGCCAGGACACGCGAGGGCGTGATATCCCATACTTATGTGTTGTACCGTCGATTTCGACTAAGGGAACAGAAGTTATAGACATAACTTGTTGGACATCGTTTTTTTGTAGTTTTCAAACCATACGTGACTGAAGTATTTCAGCTTTCATTTAAGGGGTTTTACAAACATGCATTAACTGAATTACAGCCACTTTCATGCAGAGATCTAAAATGAATTAGGTAGTTCAATGACAAGCAGTTTCATGACCATGCGAGGTTATTCCCTCATCAAATGTATCAGATATACAGTGCTGTGCATTTGCCACATCCTGTTTCAGATCATCAAACAAATTTTATATTAGACAAAGACAAAGTAAATACAAAATGCAGTTTCCAAATGATGATTTAGGAGAAAGAAACTAAACCTACGTGGCCATAGCTATTCAAGTAATCCCCCCCTCATGTCGAATCAGCAACTGACTGTGATGAATCCATTTTTATGGAAAGCCGAGTTTAACTGGATACTGTGTGACCCGATGAATCAAGGAGGATAAAAGATCTCAAAAAGTTACACATCATGACACAAAATACACTCTAGAACAGATAAGAACCAAAGTCATTAACATGTATGAGTCTGGAAAACATGACTTTGCAAAGCTATTTTTAACACTTTGGGACAGCAGCAGTAAGGCAGAGAGGGGCGTCCATGGAGAGAATATTGAATTAACAGTTTATAGCTTCTCGCTGTAATTTTAAATAAGAGGCCCAAACACGATGAAGCTAATGTTAGCTTTATTAGGGTGAGCTGTGACGTGCACAGGGCTGTACTCTGCTCAGATTCAGACAAATGCTGCAGAAACCTGATCGAAATCTTGCAGAGCAGCTTTTCAGTTGATAACCAGAAGGATCCACAAACTGAAGGTGGATGCAGTAAATGCCTGACGGAGCGTCTCTCAGGAAGAAATGCTGCATTTGTTGATGTCCATGGGTTTTAGACTCCAGCTGGTCATTTTCTACAACAGATTTTCATCCAAGCATTAAAATAAAATTGTTAGTTTGTTGAATTAATGCATCTGAAAATGTATAAATGTTGTGCTTCCTTTGGTTTGTAAAAGTCTTACATTTAAGGTTGAAAGTCTGCACTTCAACACCCTGCTTCATGGAGGGAAAGTGGCACTGAGTGCTTTCATTTATCGTTCTCAGGTAGCTCGGTGTGGAAAGCTTTTTACTTCACTCCAAACTTCTACCCAGAAAACAAGATGGGATGTTTCCATACACATATCTGCTTTTGCACGCCGGAGTACGTTACCTTCCACGATCCTCCTCTGCTCTTCGATCTCTCAAAGGACCCATCAGAGAGCACACCGCTGACCCCAGACACTGAGCCTGCCTTTCACTTTGTCCTGGCCACAATGAAGGAAGCTGTGAAGATGCATCGGCGCTCACTGAAGCCAGTGGAGAACCAGTTAAGTCACGCGAACCTGATGTGGAAGCCCTGGCTGCAGCCCTGCTGCTCCACAGTCACGCAGCTCTGTCAGTGCCAGCTGTACCAGTAAGCTTCTGTGGAGGCGGCACTGGAAGATCCTTGCTGCTGTTTAGAGTCACACTAATCTGAATATGGACACTTCATATGAACTTCTCAAATCCACGATTAAACCTTTGTTTTGTCAGGGCGCAGTCATCTGTTGCACTGATTTTATTTCACTTGATGTAGTAACAAAAGCCTCACATTCAGAGATCTAGTCAGCACACAGGTGGCAATTATAAAATACAATAGACTGGATAACAACAAAGCTGAGCGACTAACACAGTAAAGTTGTCAGCTGTCAAATCAGAAAATATATTATGAGACTTAGACCTCAATAAAAGTTCAGAGAATCGTCTTATACAAGTCTAAGAGCTACAGTACGAGCTGCAAAGGGGGTCATGAATGATTAACAAATGTTGTGATCCCCACGATCTGATACTGATTTTCTGGTTTAGTTGAGGCAGCTGAGGTAAAGAAAATCAGGCTTGGTTGAACTAGTTTCCAGAGAATATGGTGACCATCCGTGAGCTGAGCAACAGTTTGGACTTTAAACACAAAGTCAGCTAGATTTCAAAAGTGTAGTGTGGTCTGACATGTTTGTATACAGTTCAATTCAGTTTTATTTATACAGCACCAAATCACAACAACATTTGTCTCAAGACGCTTTATACTGTAAGGTCGACCCTACAATAACACAAACGAAACAGAACAAAACCCCAACAATCAGATGACCCCCTATGAGCAGCACTTTGGCGACAGTGAGAAGGTAAAACTCTCTTTTAACAGGAAGAAAGAACCAGGCTCAGGGAGGGGCGGGGCCTGGTCCAGCTCAGGGTCACCTGGTCCAGCCCTAACTATATGCTTTAGCAAAAAGGAAAGTTTTAAGCCTAATCTTAAAAGTAGAGATAGTGTCTGTCTCCCGAATCCAAACTGGAAGCTGGTTCCACAGAAGAGGGGCCTGAAAACTGAAGGCTCTCCTCCCATTCTACTTTTAAATACTCTAGGAACAACAAGTAGGCCTGCAGAGCGAGAGCGAAGTGCTCTAATAGGGTGATATGGTACTACAAGGTCATTAAGATAAGATGGGGCCTGATTATTTAAGACCTTGTATGTGAGGAGCAGGATTTTGAATTCAATTCTGGATTTAACAGGAAGCCAATGAAGGGAAGCCAAAACAGGAGAAATATGCTCTCTCTTTCTAGTCCCTGTCAGGACTCTTGCTGCAGCATTTTGGATTAGCTGAAGGCTTTTCAGGAGTTTTTTGGACATCCTGATAATAATGAATTACAGTAGTCCAGCCTGGAAGTAATAAATGCATGAACTAGTTTTTCAGCGTCACTCTGAGACAGGATATTTCTAACTTTAGAGATGTTGCGCAAATGGAAGAAAGCAGTCTTACATATTTGTTTAATATGTGCGTTGAAGGACATGTCCTGGTCAAAAATGACTCCAAGGTTCCTCACAGCGTTACTGGAGGCCAAGGTAATGCCATCCAGAGTAAGAATCTGGTTAGATACCATATTTCTAAGATTTTCAGGGCCGAGTACAATAACCTCAGTTTATCTGAATTAAGAAGCAGAAAGTTAGCGGCCATCCAGGTCTTTATGTCTTTAAGACATTCCTGCAGTTTAACTAATTGGTGTGTGTTATCTGGCTTCATGGACAGATAGAGCTGGGTGTCATCGCATAGCAGTGAAAATGTATGCTATGTCTTCTAATGATGCTGCCTAAGGGAAGCATGTATAATGTAAACAGAATTGGTCCTAGCACTGAACCCTGTGGAACTCCATAATTAACCTCAGTGTGTGAAGAGGACTCTCCATTTACATGCACAAATTGGAGTCTATTAGATAGATATGATACAAACCACTGCAGTGCAGTACCTGTAATACCTACAGCATGTTCTAATCGCTCTAATAGGATATTATGGTCACAGTATCGAACGCTGCACTGAGGTCTAGCAGGACAAGCACAGAGATGAGTCCACTGTCAGAGGCCATAAGAAGATCATTTGTAACCTTCACTAAAGCTGTTTCTGTGCTGTGATGAGCTCTGAAACCTGACTGAAACTCTTCAAATAAGCCATTCCTCTGCAGATGATCTGTTAGCTGTTTGACAACTACTCTTTCAAGGATTTTTGATATGAAAGGAAGGTTGGAGATTGGCCTATAATTAGCTAAGACTGCTGGGTCTAGAGATGGCTTTTTGAGTAAAGGTTTAACTACAGCCAGCTTGAAGGCCTGTGGTACATAGCCGATTATTAGAGATAGGTTGATCATATTTAAGATCGAAGAATTAATTAATGGCAGGACTTCTTTGAGCAGTTTTGTAGGAATGGGGTCTAAAAGACACGTTGATGGTTTGGAGGAAGTAATTATTGAAGTTAACTCAGAAAGATCAATTGAGAAAAAGAGTCTAACTTAACATCAATGGTACTAAGAGTAGCTGTAGATAATATTACATCTGTGGGATGATTACTGGTAATTTTTTCTCTAATGATAAAAATTTTATTTGTGAAGAAGTTCATGAAGTCATTACTAGTTAACGTTAAAGGGATGGTTGGCTCAAAAGAGCTCTGACTTTTGTCAGCCTGGCTACAGTGCTGAAGAGAAACCTGGGGTTGTTCTTATTTTCTTCAATCAGTGATGAATAGTAAGATGTTCTGGCTTTGCGGAGGGCTTTCTTATAAAGCAGCAAACTATTTCTCCAGGCTAAATGATGATCCTCTAAATTTGTGACTCTCCAGATTACGAGTCATCTGCTTTCAGGTGAGTGTTTGAAAGTTATACCTCTGATGTGAGAATTTCTTTTTCAGAGGAGCAGATTCGTATGTAGTAAAGAAGTGAAATTGTTAACAAGATAATCGACCTCTGTGGGATGGCATGAAACCTTTTGGAATCCAAGATAACGCTGACCTCAGCCAGGGGGACAGTGACAACCTTCAGCAGCACCAGGAAGAGAGCCATGTTGCTGCCGTTTGGGTTATTTTCCCAGAGAAGACCCATCTATAGCACCAGTTCACTGATGGTGTCAGTGGTGCTTTATAATTACAGTGAAAACTATAAATGTCTTGTGAGCAAGCACTCTACAATAGTGGGAAGGAAAAACACCCTTTTAACAGGAAGTAACCTGCAGCAGAACTATGCTCAGGGAGGGGCGGGGCTCCCGGGCCCCTGCAGCCAGTCTTACCTGAGCCCTTTTCCACACCCCACCACCCTGTGTTTAAGTCAGGACCTGCCCTAGCATCTTTTTAACCATCAGTTACTGTGTCTGTGTGTTCCAGTTCAGGTTCAGTCACTGGAGCTCGAAATTCAAATAAACTTATTGGAACCACATTTAGATGTACGGCTGAAAAACATCATCTTGTGCAGCACCGTAACACGTTCAAGCCTGACTTCTCTGAAAAGCTCCATGAACAGTGCGTCTGTGGCTGATGACAGTCGCAGGACCTCTGTGATCATATCTGGCACTGGTGGTAGTGGAGTGAGAGATCAGAGAACAGCAGTATCTATTCATTCCTCAGAGCTGAGGAAAAAAGTTAATTTGAACTCATCAATATCCAAAGAAATCAGCCTAAACTGCACAGAATGTGAGCATGTGAACAAACAACCAATGAAAGCTTAGTCTGGGGCTGAGCATCGGGGCATGTGACCTGTAAATGTGTTCAGTGTGTTTCAGGCATAAAACCTGCCCACAGCGTGGAAAGAAAAGCGTCTGGACTTCTTTGAGTTGCTTGAAGACGTTTCACCTCTCATCCGAGAAGCTTCTTCAGTTCTAGTTATTGTCTGAGTGTGTTGCTGGGTCTGAAGTACCCAGCCCTCGAGGCCTGGAGTGTGACACCCCTGGCCACACTCCAGGCCTCGAGGGCCGGTGCCCTGCAGGTTTTAGACGTGTCCTTGATCCAACACAGCTGATTCAAATGGTTAAATGACCTCCTCATCATGTCCTGAAGTTCTCCAGAGGCCTGGTAATGAACTAATCATTTGGTCAAGGTGTGCTGACCCAGGGTGACACCTAAAACCTGCAGGACACCGGCCCTCGAGGCCTGGAGTTCGACAGCCCTGTTGTAGTTGGATACACTGTCTGAATGTGCCTGCAAAAAAAAAAAAAAAATCAACCCTCAGCATCGCTAACAGACCTGTAGCCTGGTGTGTTTCAGCAGTGACGTGAGCTCTTTGCTTTCAGGGAACGTGGACAGGCTGACTATGATGAGGACTGCAGACCGTAAGTCACATCAGAGCTCGTGATAACAGACTGTCTGTTGAGAACACAGGGTGGGATATCACGCGTCCTGATTCGCCCTCAGTTTAGGCCATATACTTTAATACATGTCACGCTCCTTCATGCTCAGATAGTACAGTGTAGAAAACAATCAGGAAATAGCCGCTATGTTTTGCTTATTTCTTCAGCGTGCAGGCGAGGGTAACAAAGAAATCTTTGCAGCTTGTGGAGTTGTTTATTAGCCTGTGCAAAGGTACCAATCATATCTGCCGAATGGATCTCCCAGCAGCCCCGGGGCACAGCGGGAGCTTCTACTGCAGTATTGTGGTTACAGCCCAGAATCCCATTTCCCCAAATAACTGTGGACAGAACAGCACAAAGGGCACGGATGTTCCTGGATTGCATAAATACTAGACCTCCGTCCTCTTTGGGCCTTTGTAGAATCAGTTTCCACTGCATTCGTTTAGGACCAGAGGACAGTGCAGCTCGCAGATGAAAAACTTCCAGGAGCTGAAAAGCATTCTCTGCTTTCCAGTGGATCTGAACGGCTTATCACACAAATAACACATTGCAGGTGTGAACAACAGCTTTTCAGTCCCATACACTGAAGTCAGCAGCTGAATAATTACACTAACAAATGAGCTGCTTCAGCTGGCCTCCGTCCACACAGCAGTCCCCTACTGTAGTTCATTACGAGACTCAACATTAGGGAGAAAAACACAAGCTGGGGTTTCTTTGCCGCAGGCGGAAGCTTTAAATGAGCCTTATTACCACAAGCAGCAGGTGAGCTTACATAATAACACAATACGCACAAGTGGGATACGTGTGTGTGTTTGTGTGTGTAAATCAAATTTAGATGTTACAAGTTTAAAATGCAAAACAATCCTGAATCGTTTCAGTAAGAACTCAAACACAAACTCAAGCCTGTCCTG